ACAGCACACCTGATCAAATTACTACAATCAGCATTACCTGAGAATAGTCTCTACCTACAACACACTAAGAATAATCTACTACCCTACAGAACACCTGAGATAATCTACTAACCTACAGAACATCTGAGAATAATCTACTTCAAATGACAAGCCACCCTGAGAAAATCTACTACACTACAAACACACCGAGAACAATCTACTACCCACAACACACTGAGAATATTAATAACGAAAACCACACGGAGAATAATAAATAATAATAATATAATAATATATGCCATTAGTCCGACCTTATCCCAAAGCGCCTTACAGTGGTGTGCATTTACTTTTTGTATGGGTGGTCCCGGGGATCGAACCCCCACTACCTGTGGCGTACAAGCGCCAGCTTACCAGCTGAGATACAGCGGACCTGAGGAATAATCTATATACCCACAGAAAACCTGCGCAAATCTACTCCCTACCGAAATCGGAGAATAACTTAATACACTAGAGACACCTGAGAATAATGTACTACCCTACAAACACCTGAGAATAATCTACTACCCTACAACACATCTGAGAATAATTAAGCCCTAAACAGAACACATGAGAATATTCTATCCCAAGCAGCACACCTGAGAATAATATACACACGTCAGCATCCCTGAGGAGGGGTGATTTCCAGCTCAGCAGAAATAAAAGCGGGGTACGGTCCTGTGTGGGTCCCAGTTAATAAATACGTGGGGTACGCGTACCGGTAAAATAAATAGTTGGGGTACAACCCGTAACCGGGTATAATTTAAAGAGTGGGGCATGCGTACCGGAAAAAAATAGTGAGGGGTACGCCGTACTGGTCAATACAAATAGTGAGGGTAACGCCGTAAGGTTTTTTTTTAAACAACTAGTGGATGTACACAGTTAGTAAAATAAATAGTGAGGGGTACACGTAACGGGTAAATAAGAGTGGGGGTACACCGACCGGTACTTTCAAGAGTGGGGGCATGCAGTACGGTTAAAATTAAATAGTGAGGGTCACCGTTTCCCGGTACAATAAATAGTGAGGGTACACCGTGACGGTAACCTAAAGGTGCGGGTACACCGTAAACGGTTAAAAAATAAATTGTGAGGGACCCCGTACCAGTAAAAATAAATGTGCGGGTACCGTAATGGAATACTAAATTGTGAGGGGTACACTGCTACTGGGTAAAAATATCCTATCCATTAAGACAAAAAAATGTCAGAAAACTGAGAATAATCTACTACCCACACCACACCTAAGAAAAACAACTACCTAAAACACAACTGAGAATAAATGGTCACCCTACAACCACACTGAAATAATCATTACCCTACAAACACACTGAGAAATAATCTTCAACACTCAGCACACTAAGACATAAACAAACTACCCTACAACACACCTGCGACTAATCGGTCTACCCTACAACACACCTGAGGAATAATCTGCTAACCACAGAACACCTGAGAATAATCTATACCTTCAGCACACCTGAGAATACCTCTTACTGCACTACGAAACACCTGAAAATAATCTACTACACTACAGAACACCTGGAATAATCTACTACTCTACAACACACCTTGAGACTAATCTACTACCCTCAAAACACCTGAAGAATAATCTACCAAGGAACACCTGGAGAATACTCTTCTACCATACAGCACACCGGAGATATCTAGACCCCACAACCATTCCTGAGAATTAAATACTACCTACACTTACCTGAGGAACTAATCCTCCACCCCGACAAACACACTGAGGATAATCACTACTCTACAAAACACACCTTTAGACTAATTACTACCCTACAACCACCCCTGAGAATAATCTACTACCCTACAAACACCCTCAGAATACTCTACCCCTACCACACCCCTTTTTTGTCTTGTTCTTTGCGCATCATCTCCTTCCCGACCACCAACCTGAGACTCATCGGTCTCCCTACCAAACACACCGCGACTAATCTCCTACCCTCCACCCCACACCTGGCCTAATCCTCCTCCCGTTCCACCCCACTGAGATCATCTCCTCCCCTCCAACCACACCTGAGCATCCTCTTCAACGACCTGCGAATACTCTACTACCCTACCCATACCTGAGATAATTTCTACTACCCTCAACCCCCCTGCGACTAATCTACTACCATACAACACACTGAGAAAATTACCAACCACACCTGAGATAATAATCTACACCCACCACATACTGAGAATACATTCGACCGTTTACAACCCCACCTGAGCATCCCTACTACGCTACCACACACATGAGAATACGCTACTTCCCCTACCACACACCCTGAGCGTAAAGACTACCCCTACAACACACCTGAGAAACTTAATACCCTCAACACACCTGTGAGAAAATCTTATACTTACACACACTGCGATCATCCCCTCCCCTACACCCCCTGAGATTGAGAAATATACTACCTACAAACACACCTGAGCTCATCTACTCCCCTACCGCACACCTGAACAATAATTCTCTTACCCCTCCCCCCACCCCTGGCCTAATCTACTAATCCAGCAAACCTGAGCTAATCTACTCCCCTCCAACCATCTGAGCATAACTCTCCTACGCTACCAACACCACCTGAGAATACCCTCCTACCCTCCCGACAACCTGAGAAAATCTACTTCCTCCAGCACCCCTGAGATCCTCTCTCCACTTCAACACACTTGAGCATACTTCCTCCCCTCGCGCCCCCCTGAATAATCCTCTGACTACCCTCCCCCAAAACACTGAGAAGAATATACTCCACTTACCCACGTGGAGAAGCATTACTACCCTCCAACACACCCTGAGCATAATCTTTATTCCCTAGCACACCTGAGACTACTCTACTACACCAACACACTGTGAATAATCTACTACCCTACAACACCCCTGCGATAATCTACTAGCCCTACCATACACCCTGAGATAATTGTACCCTAACAGAACACCTGAGGATAATCCCACCTTATGCCATACACCTGCGACTACTCTCCTACCCTACCGACCCCCTGAAACTATATCTACTCGACAGCACACTCTGAGACTAATCTACTCCCCTTCCCAACACACCTAGAATAACTTACCTACCCTTAAAACCCTGAGACTTCCTTCCTACCCTCCCTACACCTGAGAATAATTTGACGCCTACACAACGACCTGCGAATAATTCTACTTACTTACAGCACACCTGCGAATAACGCTCATCCAGCCCACTGCGAATAATTACTCCCCCTCCAACCATGCGAATAAGATACTACCTACAGACCACCTGAAAATCATCTACACACTCCCGACACACTAGAATAATCTACTACTTAAACACAAATGAGATAATCTTACACCATAAAAACACACCTGAGAATAATCTACAAGACACCTGAGAGGACAATCTTTCTACCCTACAACACACGTGAGAATTAATCTACTACTCTACACACAGTTGAGCAATAAGACTACTACCCTACAGCACACCTGAGAATAATCTACTACCCACAACTACCTGAGATAATATACTACCCTACAACATCCTGGAAGTATAATTACACCCTACACACCTGAGAATAATTACTACTTACAACACACCTTAGAATAATCTACGACCATACAACCAACATGAGGATAATCTACTACCCTACAAACACACCTAAGCATAACTACAACGACAACACACCTTAGAATAATCTACTATCCTACAACTACACCTGAGAATAATCTACTACCCTAGACCAAAAATAACCCTGAGAAGTATCTCATACCCCTACAACCACACCTGAGAATAATCTACTACCCTCCCACAACCACCTGAGAATAACTACTACCCTACAACACACATGAGAATAATTCTTACTACCCTAGAGCACACCTGAGAATACTCTACTACCAGAACAACACACCTGAGAATAATATACTTACCTTCAACCAACCTGAGAATAATCTAATACCCTACAACACACCTGAGAATAACTACTTCCCTACAGCACACCTGAGAATAATATACTACACTCAACACACACTGAGATATCACTACCCTACAACACACCTGAGAATAATCTACTACCCTACAATACACCTGAGAATAATCTGCTACCCTACAGAACACCTTAGTATAATCTACTACCTTACAATACACCTGAGAATAATCTACTACCCTACAGAACACCTGAAATAATCTACTTCGCTACAGCACACCTGAGAATAATATACTACCTTCAACACACCTGAGAATAATCTACTACCCTACAACACACCTGAGAATAATCTACTACCCTACAAAACACCACTGAGCAGAATCTACTACCCTACAACCACAACTGAGGAATATTCTAACCCTACAACACTCACCTGAGAAAAATATATTACGCAATACAGCACACCTGAGAATAATCTATACCCTACAAAACACATCTGAGAATAATATAATACCCTACAGGAACACCTGAAAAATAATTACTACACCACAGAACCAACATGAGAATAATCTACTACTACAACCCTGGAATAATCTCCTTACCCACAAAACACCTGAGGAATAATCTACCCTTACAAACACACCTGAGAATTAATCTAATACCCTACCAACACACAGAGATAATCTACTACCCTAGGAGCAACCGAGCATACTCTACTACATACACACACCTGAAGAATAATATACTTACACTTAAACACCTTGGAGCATAATCGAATACCCTAAAACACACCTGAGAATAATATACTTCCCTACAGCACACCTCCTGAGATAAATATATACACTCAAACACCTGAGAATAATCTACTACCCTACAACACACCTGAGAATAATCTACTACCCTACAATACACCTGAGAATAATCTGCTACCCTACAGAACACCTGAGTATAATCTACTACCTTACAATACACCTGAGAATAATCTACTACCCTACAGAACACCTGAAAATAATCTACTTCCTACAGCACACCTGAGAATAATATACTACACTTCAACACACCTGAGAATAATCTACTACCCTACAACACACCTGAGAATAATCTACTACCCTACAATACACCTGAGAATAATCTGCTACCCTACAGAACACCTGAGAATAATCTACTACCTTACAGCACACCTGAGAATAATCTATTACACTACAGCACACCTGAGAATAATCTGCTACCCTACAGAACACCTGAGAATAATCTACTACCTTACAGCACACCTGAGAATAATCTAATACACTACAGCACACCTGAGAATAATCTACTACCCTACAACACATCTGAGAATAATATACTACCCTACAGAACACCTGAAAATAATCTACTACACTACAGAACACCTGAGAATAATCTACTACTCTACAACACACCTGAGAATAATCTACTACCCTAAAACACACCTGAGAATAATCTACAAGACACCTGAGAATAATCTTCTACCCTACAACACACCTGAGAATAATCTACTACTCTACAACACAGCTGAGAATAATCTACTACCCTACAGCACACCTGAGAATAATCTACTACCCCACAACATACCTGAGAATAATATACTACCCTACAACATACCTGAGAATAATCTACTACCCTACAACACACCTGAGAATAATCTACTACTCTACAACACACCTTAGAATAATCTACTACCCTACAACACACCTGAGAATAATCTACTACCCTACAACACACCTAAAAATAATCTACAACCTACAACACACCTGAGAATAATCTACTATCCTACAACATACCTGAGAATAATCTACTACCCTACAACACACCTGAGAATAATCTACTACCCTACAACACACCTGAGAATAATCTACTACCCTACAACACACCTGAGAATAATCTACTACCCTACAACACACCTGAGAATAATCTACTACCCTACAACACACCTGAGAATAATATTCTACCCTACAACACACCTGAGAATAATCTACTACACTACACTTCTCCAAATGTAAGTGCATTTTTCAATAGACACACTGAATGCAGACGGTTATAAAAACCTTGTTAAATGACTGGTCGATTTAACATTACACCGAATGAATGGCAAAGTGCACATATGCAACGAGACATCAACAGCTTCTGTACGTGGATCAGCAACGCAACAACACAGCACAACAGAGGTGTGTTCACAAAGCAGCCTGTTTTCACAGCTCTTTGGGACTTTCCAGGCAGATGGTTTGCGATGTTTCCCGATGTGCTCTCAGTGGTAACACAGCCCACATGGGGTCCGGATACGTGAAGGAGGGAGGGAGGATGGGATTGTTTAAGACAGATGAAACAAGGTGTTGTGTTTGATGCTATCTCCAGCGGACAAAAGGCTGATTTCCTGTTTTTTTTTAAACACAAAAGACTGTGTAGTTTGCTGCTGCAGTTACAATCTGGTTGCAGTCCATGGTGGTTACAGTCCAGGCTGGTTGCAGTCAAGGCTGGTTGCAGTCAAGGCTGGTTGCAGTCAAGGTTGGTTGCAGTCCAGGCTGGTTGCAGTCCAGGCTGTGAATAAGAAGAAGGGGAAGAGGTGCAGTACAGGAAGGATTGGCTCTGTAATGGCTGCCAATAACAATTATTGTTCAATATCTATTAATGTAAAACAATCTTATTGGAAAGACTTAATATTATTTACAATTTCCTCTCCAATAATGCAGGTAAACACACTAGTAATGAAAGTAACATGACCGAGTATGCTCAGTACCTACAGGTGTAGGAATTAATTTGTTGTAGGATCTTAATCTTTTGTTGCTGAGAATTTTCCTGCGCAGCAGGAAATGCACATGAGCTTCGTGATTTACATGCATTCACTGAAAATCCACACTAACACATTGTTATATTAACAGCATAGCTCTTTTTCAGGTAGCCTACTTTCGGCCAACTAATAGCCTAACCACCGATCAAAGCAACACGATGGACTAAACGCTCAAATCCTTTTGCTGCAGGAATCTTTTGCTCTGACAATACCGATCAAATTACGATCCAACATTTGTAAATTGCATATCTCAATGTGATCTTTATGAGAACATTTACTTCACAAGACCAATGCTTTTTTAATGAAGACCAATGCTCCATTTATTTTGTTTTTAAAAATTCATTATATCCTTTCTTTGATTTCAAGGACGGAACAAACATGACTATAAGTGATCTTCAAACTAGACACAGAGTACAAATACATTTAATTTGAAGTCCTTTTTCAAAGTTATTCAGGAGCTTTACCATCTCTGCTTCACTACTGTCTGAGAAGGCAGACAGTCGGGAGGGTTTTCTTATCATCACTACACTATCTTACCCTACTTGGTTGGAGCAAATTCCCATTACTTCAGATATGGCCATTTCTCCACTGCATAACCCTTGTGTGTGTGTGTGTGTGTGTGTGTGTGTGTGTGTGTGTGTGTGTGTGTGTGTGTGTGTGCGTGCATGTGGACCTTTTTAACTATTCTTGTGGGGACCAGAAGTCCCCACAAGAATAGCAAACAAACAAAAATTTGACCAATTGGGGACATTTTGTTGGTCCCCACAAGGTCAAATGTTATTTCTGGTGGTTTAGGGTCAAGGTTAGAATTAGTGTTAGGGTTAGAATTAGGTTTAGGGTTAGGAGCTAGGAACTAGGTTTAGTTTTAGGGTTAGGGTTTGGAGCTAGGGTGAGGTTTAGGGTTAAGGTTTTTGGGTTAAGGTTAGGGTTAGGTTTAGTGTTAAGGTTAGGGTTAGGGTTAAGGTACGTGTTAGGGTTAAGTTTAGGGTTAGGGGTTAGGGAAAATAGGATTTTGAACATGACTGAATTGTGTGTCCCCACAAGGTTAGTTGTACAAGACTGTGTGTCTGTGTGTGTGTTGTGTTCTGTGAGTTTGCCCACCATACTCCACTCCTATTTAAATTGAATGGAGACAAAAGGGGCAGTAAGGCAGAGATGTTAAGAGCCAATAACAGGCTTTGTTTGTTTAATCACGTTAGAAAATGACACAGTAATTATGTTGTCGCTTCTACGCTTCGACGTGACAAAACTGGGCCGCAAGAGCATGCTTTGTTCCCCGCGACTAATTCTATACTTCAAGCATTAACGGTCAAAAAGCAATATTTCTCCTGTTTTTGTCTCAGAGAGCAATATGTAGAGAGTAACAGCCGAGGGTTTTCAGCCGTCTCATATTAAACGTCCCTGACAGGAGTTATATGGCAAGTTCTAGTGAGAACGAGAGAGAGAGAGGGAACGGGAGAGGGAGAGGGGGTGAGAGAGAGAGAGAGAGAGAGAGAGGGTGGGGGTGAGAGAGAGAGGGGGTGACAGAGAGAGGGGGTGAGAGCGAGAGAGAGAGAGAGAGAGAGAGAGGAGGGAGTGGGGTTGTGATCTAGAGAGTAGAGAGAGAGGGGGGGGGTTGACAGAGAGAGGGGGTGAGAGCGAGAGAGAGAGAGAGAGAGAGAGAGAGAGACAGCGGGTGAACGGATGAACAGTTTTGACTTATTACAGTGTTTTGAACTGATGAGACTGCAAATTACAGCATGTCCCATTTAAAACGCCACAGCATTCATTCATTAATTCATTCATTCTTCTCTGCTTATTTCTCCTATCTCATTCCCCCCCCCCCCCCACTCCCCCAGGACCCCTGTCTTCCCCCCCCCCAGGACCCCAGTCTCTCCCTCCCCCCTCTCCTCCCTCTACCAGTATAGGTGGTGAACGTTGGTAAGAAACTGAACATCTCCAGTGAAATTGGTTTTCTGTGGAAAACTGATGGATCACTCTGTGCTCGTGACACACAAACACACACACACACACACACACACACACACACACACACACACACACACACACACCACACACACACACACAACACACACACACACACACACACACACACACACACACACACACACACACACACACACTGACAGGAGGAAAAGGGGATTGTTTATGCCGGAACAGATTGCTGTTTATACAAAAATACACTTTAAACTATTAGAGATGTTATCTAGTATGCAGCATCCTCAACAATGAATTGTAGTAGTAGCATATCATACACCCACACCCACACACACACACACACACACGTACATTATCATCACAAACATTAACACACACACACACACACACACACACATTATCATCACAAACATTAACACACACACACACACAGACGTTATCATCACACAGATTATTACTGGGAAAGTTTTAATCGGACCATTGGAAATACAACTTTAATGTGGAGTACTGACAGACAACATTTGAATAATTATCTCCACATGAGAAAAACATTATCTGACTGGGCTGTATTCAGTCTGACTGTAATTACCCTTACAAAAAAACTACATGAAAAAAATCACGTGAAAAATGTCACATGTGAAAATGCAATTAACATGTGAGGTGAAAACATGCCATTCTCCTTACATGTGAAAAGGTGGTGTTAACATGTGAAGTCTAAATTGTGAAAATATGGAGTATCAAAGATTCATACTTTTATTGTGTTGATTTTTCTACAAAGGTTTTTCAATGCTTCAAAATGGTTTTGGAAATACAATTCTGGATTGTGTTTTTGCAGTTTGCAACTACAGAGCGCGCACACACATTTTGGGTAGTTAAAGACAGGAGCTACACAAACAATATTGCTATGATGTGTTGGTCAAAACACACACACACACACATGTCTGTTTTAAAAATAAAACCACAGAGCAGGGGAGAGGAGAGAAGAGGGGAGAGGACGAGGGGAGAGGAGAGGAGAGGAGGAGGGGAGAGGAGAGGAGGTTAGAGGAGAGGAGGTGATGAGAGGAGGAGAGAGGGGGAGGTGAGAGGAGAGGAGAGGAGAGGAGAGGAGAGGAGAGGAGAGGAGGAGGAGAGGAGAGGAGGAGGAGAGGAGAGGAGAGGAGAGGAGAGGAGAGGAGAGGAGAGGAGAGGAGAGGAGAGGAGAGGAGAGGAGAGAATTAAGGGAGAGGAAGAGGGGAGAGGGGGAGGGGAGTGGAGTGGAAGGGGAGAGGAGAGGAGAGGAGAGGAGAGGAGAGGAGAGGAGAGGAGAGGAGAGGAGAGGAGAGGAGAGGAGAGGAGAGGAGAGGAGAGGAGAGGAGAGGAGAGGAGAGGAGAGGAAAATGTATTCCACCCCATGAATGAACGAATATGATTATCAGGACTGAGACCCTTTCAAGGACAAAGTGATGTGTGTCTTGGTGTGTGTGTGTGAGTGTGTGTATAGTGCAGGTGACATCAACAGGACGTGGCACTCAGTAATTACATCACTCTGTCTTCCTGTGGTGAGGCCTGCATCCAGCTGCTGCCACCAGAATCACAAACCAGAGAAGGAGGAAATAACCATTAAAACTGAAAATCACCACGGCAGCGCATCACCCGCCTGCTCTGAGGCCGCCATCTTACGACAAGGGTGTGTGTGAGAGAGAGAGTGTGTTTGATGGAATGTGGAGGTGTGGTTTAGAGGGGGGAGATAGCGTGGGGTGGTGGGACGGGATGGTGTGTGTGTGTGTGTGTGGTGATAAATCAGTTAGTAGGTAAAGGGTTTTTAATGCAGCGCTCGCTAGTCCCAGCCTCCATTCTCTGTCAGAGCTCAGTAAAAGATGAGAGGCCCCCAGGGAATAGCACTGGCCTGGAGCAGAGCGGGGGGCACTGCTGCAAGTCACACACACGCACACACACGTGCACACACACGCAAACACACACACACACACACACACCAGGGACTGCATAGCCACTGACTGCGCCTGTGAATGAGTGAATCTATGAATAAAAGCATGTAAAAATAAATTAATACAACTTCCCCAAGAAGGGTCCATACAGTATATTGATGACCCCCCCCCCAAACAAATGTGTTTCTGAAATTACAGTGGGGAAAAAAAGTATTTAGTCAGCCACCAATTGTGCAAGTTCTCCCACTTAAAAATATGAGAGAGGCCTGTAATTTTCATCATAGGTACACGTCAACTATGACAGAGAAAATGAGGAAAAAAAATCCAGAAAATCACATTGTAGGATTTTTAATGAATT